TAGTTTTAACTAATGAATAGGGTTTAGACAGATGGTTAAGTGGCTAAAAGCATATAAATCTGAAAGAGTGGAGGAGAGATCTGGCTTCAGTGAGATTTCCAGAGAACTACAAGGATGACACAAACTAGCAATCTAAGCAATAATGGAGAGGCTTACTTAAATGTCCTTCCCCAATAATGCGATTGATGACTGACTACTTTATATGCCATCCTAGAACCTTTATCCAGTGACAGACACCCACAGTTAAACATTGAACTGAAACCCTAGAACCCAGTTGTAGAGAAGGAGGAGTGATGATCAAAGGGGTGAAGACTGGGCTGGTGAAACCCACAGAGACAACTGACCTGAACAAGAGATATCTCATGGAACCCAGGCTGATGGCTGACAGGTCATCCTGGGACTGGTCCAGACCCCTTGAATGTGGGTGTCAGTGAGAAGGCCTCGGCAATCTATTGGGTCTCATGTAGTAGATCAGTATTTATCCCTGGCATAATAATGGAATTGGGAGACCATTACTCTTTCAGAGATGCTATCTTAGCATGGACACATGGGGAGGGGCAAGACTCTGACTTGCATGATGTAATAGACTTTGGAGATTCCCCCATGAAGGGCCTACCCACTGAGGAGGGTTGGGGGATGGTGTGGGGCAGTTGGGGGTTGTTGGGGGTTGGGAGGTGGGATTGACACATAAAGCAAGCATATTTCTAATTTAAATTAATAAAAGAAATATCATGCTTAATCACTTTATTGTAATGAGTACATTTGAGGAAACAAAAACAAAACAAAACAAAAACAAAAACAAAACAAGAAAAGAACACCAAATAGACTGGATCAAAAAAATTCCTCCCACCATGTAATAATAAAAACATAAAATATATAGAATAAAGAAAGTATATTATGTGCTGCAAAGGTAAAAGTCAAGAAACATATTAAAGAAAACCTATCAGAATAACATGATGGTGACTCCACACTGGAGACCTTCCCAGTGAGGAGGAGTGGACTAGGGGTGTGCTTGTGGGGAAGTGTGGGAAGCTCGGGGGAACTTAGTGGGTTGAAGGAGGAGGGGAGGGAGAACTGCAGTTGTAATATAAAATGAAGTAAAAATACAAATATGAAAAAACAAAAACAAAATGAACTAATCATTTTTCAGATACAGTGTAGGAATTCTATTAGAGCCATTGTGTATTGAGTTGATTTAAAAGTGGCAATTATAGGCACAGATATGTGACTATATACATACAGTGATGGTGCTATAGGGAGAATTATTAAAACTTTAAAATTTGCAGACTTATTGGCAGAATTATTTCAGTGGTGTGGAACTCTGAAAATTTATGAGACTCATCCCAACCCCAATGTTCTCTCTCTACTTGTAGATGTGTTGACTGACACATCGCATTTCAGAATCCTATGCATCACTCCTTGGATGTAACACCCCTGCAGGCCTCCTGACCATAAAGTACTCTCATACCTCAATTTCCAAAAGTCACTTTTCATGATGGTGTTTGATCATAGTATGTAACTAATACTATTATATAGTTTTGAGGTATAAATCATAAATTAAGAGACTGTATCTAACAGAATACTTTATGAGACATTATAGAGGTTGAGCAACCCACTTCTCAGGTACACCTAATTTGTGGCAAGTGAACAAAAATGAACCCATGAGTTTCTGATATTATCAGACATTTAAATCCACAGTAAAACACTGAACTGAAGCCAAGGAACCCAGTGACAGAGAGTTGGGCGATGAGAAAATTGGCAAAAAATGGGCAGGCAAATCCAGCAGAGACAGCTGATCTCAACAGGGGAGAACTGTTGGACCCCAGACCGACAGCTGGGAAGCAAGCATGGGACTGATCCGCACCCCCAAATATGCGTGTCAGTGAGGTGGCAGGGGCAACCTATGGTGCCATGAGCAGTGGATCAGTGTTTATCCCTGGAATACAAACAAACATCGTGTGTCCCTAGCACAAAGAGGGATGTTCTCTCAGCCGGGACTCTTAGGGGAGTACCTGGACCCTACCCTGAGTGAAAGGACAGACTCTAGATATCACCTATATGGAAGGAATTGGCAATAGGGTGGGAAGCTGGGGGATGCAGGAGGAGGGTAGGGAAAGGGAACTTGACATGTAAAACAAGCTATTTATAATTAAAATAATAAAAAATTCATCTTTAAGAATCAGAGAACAATAAACATTGTATACTGCTGGTTAATTTTCATTCTTTTATATTGGAAGTTTTATAGTCATTGCTTTTGAGTTAGAAAACAGGTTTTAATTTACTGGTGAATATATTTGTGTTATTCTGGCAAGTTTAATGCTTCAAAATAAATCACAACTTACGTCTAGATATATATTTGGCCTCTGTATCAAATGTTCACATAAAGATAACTGTTGACAATTGGAAGCATTGGGTGTAAATGTTCCCGGTTTCACTTTTAATCCAAGACCATTTGGAAAATGCCAAAATTTGAGAATGTCATATTTGTCATCAAACTCATGTTCCCAATATAAATGCCTGTTGTCTCTGACATGATTATTCCTCAATAAAGGGTGAAGCTGAAAGGGATGAAAGACCATATGACAAAGTATGTCTGAGAGGTTGACCAGAAATGGAATGACTTTCATTGTTTATAATCTCTGGTTTAGGACACCACACTAATGTAGGTATTACTGGGGCTGAGAAATGATTACCTGCATTGGTGTGATGCCCTATTATCTCTGAAGGGACAGCCTGTTCAAGAATATCTTCTAAACTAACTTAGAAAATGAAGAAATGAGCATTGATGAAGTAAACCTAAACTTCTTTTTAAAAAGCTGTCCAAATTTACTTACCTACATCGTGTTTCCCAATGTTGAATGAGTAAAGTGTGTTTACTGATTACTTCATGTTAGTTAAGAAATCATTTATGTACTACTACCTTGTATTATTCAAATGTCACTGTGTCAGTTAGTGAGAGAATACTTAGTTTTCTAATGGAATCTCAGCATTAGAAGGTTTTGTGGCTATTACTTACACAATATTTATACTTTATTTCCTCATTGCCACTAGCAACCCATTCCTCAGCAACAAGCACACAAAGAGCTGCACTGCCTTGTAAGATAAGATAACAAATAAATGTTCTCCTTTCATTTCTTATATAATGATCAAATGTGCAATCCCTAATATGGAGCCTAATCAAATAAACCCAAAATTTCACATTGCTGATGCTCTAAATCATTGGAAGGGATATTACCTGCCAGGGAAGAACACCATTTCTTTCTCATTTCGAAATGGTTGCATCTGTACTTGCTGAAGGCTCATCTCAGCTTTGTAAATATCATAACTCTCTTCACTCATTTCCTTGTCAAAAATGTGTCTAGGCAGGAATTCCAAGGAAGCATTTGGTTGGCATCTCTCCAAAATTTGACAATCAAGCTCTGAAAATGGGCATTTGTAGAACAAAAACCATAAGTTAGGAAGGTAAATGTCTTCTGGGTAATTGAAAGGATTAACTGTTTTGAAAAAATTTGGAAATTCAGCCATCTCCTCATGTTGATATAAAAAGATGAAACTTCCATGGAATGAATCTACTAAGACATAATCAGCATGGTTGGTAGCATCCCACTGAGAGTTCATCACCCAGACTTTCCATGTCAAAAACTGTTTTACTAGATTCAGCATTAAGCCATGTAGTGAAACACTGTCACCATAAATGATTATGATATTGGCCAATGATTCCTGGATCTTCCCCAAATTTGCCCAGAATGTGAAGGAAAATGAATTCCATGTGCTTGAGATCATTTCAACAAAATCTATACAGACTATTTTTTCCATATTTTTTCTTAAATTGGACAGTAATTCAGTCCCTCTGTGATCATCTGGAAGAAGCAGACCAACCCAGTTCCAGCCAATATCGACTATCAAATAGACAATAGCAAGAGACAGAGATGTGCCTTTGGAGACCATCTGATAGAGAGAATTAAACTAACTTCGATCACTGAAGATAGGATCAAAAGGACCAATGGTAACCTGAAGAGAAAGCAATTTGTAACAAGAGTCAAACAATGACATCAAACACACTGTCCACTTTAAAGGAACAGATGTAAATGCTCAGCAAGTTAACTGGTTCATTCCAAGTTTAAAGTTAATTCTCAGTGGCAGAATATCCAGTGAATTACTGAACTTTCCTATTTTTGATCCATCTTCCACGTCTCCTCTATTCTTTCCTTTTTTTCTTTGCCAAGTGACTGAAGTATGTATGCATCCTTCTCCAATTGTCTAGACACTTTTCACAGATAGCTAAGAAAATCATGTGTCTCTCTTTTACCTTAGCACATCTCTGCAATGTCAGTAAAGAGATCATGGTATAATTCAAATACAATGCCTCACCTGTGGGAATTTGCAGAGTTGAAGCAGTGTCCCAATATGGACAGATTTTACCCATGATGGTCAATTAGTGCTTGCAACAGACTTTATCTCATTCTCACAGTGATAATTTGGGTATGGAAAACTCAGGCCTGATAGACAAAGGAGGGGCTGCAAAAGAATGGTTTTCTCCCCCTGTGGGACATTATGAAAGTCCAATTCCAGAGATATGTTTGTTAAAAAGTGGATTCCTGTTGATATCCTTAATGGCAAATTCCAGAGGTAGAATAAACTGGTAGTTTTTAAAATTATACCTGGATAAAGGATATAAAATCACACTAGATAAAAGTTACAGATAGCACAGAGCTGCAGCTCAATCCAATGATTTTTCTAGTTTAAAAATTAGTTTTTATGTATGCTCCACATTTAAACTTTCCTATTAAATGACTGGAATTCAACAAATTATGTTACCTGGTTAGAATGAAATAAAATCCTGCATCTAGTATCCTCATTATTAACAGTTTCATGACAGCTTGCTTTACTTTCAATTGCACATAATACATAAATAAAAATTTTTATTATAAATATGAAAGACCCACCTATATAAAATTTCATGTTTCCTGGTCACTGCTCTCATTTAAATATCACTTGATTAGAGCACTCACATTCACAAAGTAATATTTTAATCAAAGAATATCCCTGAGTTAATTTGGCTCAGCTATATAAATACTTGTTATTCTTTGATAATATTGTCTCTATCTGAATTTATATAACTTCTGAATTGTGTGTGTGAGAAAATGTTTGAACTTTAATTGTTAAAAGTGCAAGACTGGATAGCTTTCACTGGCATATCTGTTTGTAATTTTCTTTCTAACAATGTCTGTATTATTTCGATAGCATATGACTGGATATTCCCATTGAATACTTCCAGAATTTATTTTTTATCAGACTCCTCTCCTCCACAGGATCCTGGATTACAAGTGTGCACTCATAAATTTTCTGGGAGCCTAAACTAAGGTAATCTCACTTGCATCTGAATAATTTTTGGTTTCTGAGACATTCCTCATTTTAGTATCAAACCCTTAAATTAAGAGAATTGGATTTCACTTAAATACCATTAAAAATAAAAAGAAACAAAACAAATCCTATAGTCAGGTGACCTTTCCCCTAAGATACAGGCTGTTGCCCATGCGAATTATGCCTTTTTGAATAAGAGATAACATGCTATTGCTGAAGAAACCACATACTTCAGAAATTATATGAAAAGGTCAACCTAGATTTACCTGGAAGTCTTCTTACTTAGAACTGGCTCCCAAAATTATAGGAGTCATACATATTCACAATGGAGTAAAGCCTATTCATTAGTATGGGCAATTAATCACAGCACTTGAAAGCAGTACAAGATATTCTGAATGGTATAATCATGACACTTATAGCCTTGAATAATGCACAGTTATCTAATTGGACTTAAGTCATGTTAGGGCAGGAAAGAAGCCATGTCTGTCAGTGTACCTGTACCTTTAGACAACTACTAGCACTGAAAGCATGGATTCTTTAGGAGAACCTACTGTTGTCAGTTTTCTAAAATAGTAAAATCTCTGATTTTAATCTAAAATTAACCTTATATCCAAAGATAAGCAAAGCTCTCTCCATGTTTAAGGATACTTCTTTATGTGGAAGATAAAGATCATTACAAGATGTTCTAACTGTGAAAATGATAGGAATAAGGCAGACTCCAATTTATATATTTAAAATAAAATTAGTACACTTAAAGATCAGGAAACTAAGGGATAGGGCTGTAAAATTTGTTATGAGCCACAGGATGAGGAGAGCTTTTGCAAGATGTACTCTTCAAATTAAGGTAGATGACGTGAAGATATGGTGGGTGAGTGAAATTCAGGATTTGTTTGTAAAAATCAAAGAATAATGACTGAGACATATGAGTTTAAACTTTAAGGTATTTAAAATACTTAATTTAAATTATTGAATTTTGAAAATTGTTCCTTCCTTCTTCTAGAACTTGTTGGAAAGATGGTATTGCTAAAGCAAATATGTAGCTAAGCCATAGAACATGGAGATATCAAACTGTTATTGGCCAAGGCGCTTCTTTCTTACAAATATTCACAGTTCTGCTAGTATAACAGGATCCCACAACTTAGTAGAAACTCAGACCTTAGTGCAAATGAGTTCCTGATTGAAGAGCCATTTAGACTGTCAAACTCAGCAGGTATATAAAACTGCCTAAATAAAGACAAAGACTGAATCCATTTTAGTCTATAGTTCTAGGAGTATTTCTAAATGTACTTAATTGCTTTTGGCTTCAATAGTTCTGCTTCTGGCTAACTGAAAATATGTTAACCCTGAAGATTTTTTTGTGCTTAAAGCCTTATACTGAGCATTCTCAGTGCTATCCTGAGATCCTGAAGCCACATTAAAGTCACAAGTCAGCTAATAGATACTTTCTCTTGCTTTTAACTCATGTCCAACCAGTATTTTCTGGTAAACACCCACAATAATTCTGATGGTTCCACTAACATCTCATAACAATTCTTCAGGACACAAGGGTTCTCCAAGTTCCTCAGAGAAAGGAAGAATGAAGTGCTCAAGGGGATCATAGGGGAGTGCAACCTGAGGAACTTTTCCCCAGAGTGTATGATGATCAATTTGTGCCTAAGGAATCTGACGTATCCACCCACAAAGGAAACAAGGTGATATGTTTCCTGGTTTGTCAAATTTGCAGGTAAGTCTGATTAAGGTGTCTTCTATTTTAAAACATAAGAGAGAGGTAAGAAATGGCTGCTGGTCCAGTGTTCAGGAACCATGTTAAAAGGACATTAAGTTGTTTTTACTGTGTCTCTGTGTGTATTACTTTGCTTTACTGAAAGTTTTGTTTTGGTGAGTTTATTTCAGGCTTTGCTTCCCTGTATTCTCCTGTGACTTTCTTTCCTGTGACAACATTTCCCAACCTGGCTTAAGATGCGTGCATCCTATTGTTTGGGAATAAATCCTTTTTGGCTCTGCAAGGTTTCCCATATTATTGCAAACAATCACCTCTACCATATCATTAAGGAATGTATCTTGTTTTGTTGCTTGACTCCTCCTCAGTGTTGCCTGATCCTTATGTGGAGGTGCTGAGGAGCCAGTCCTTCATCCAGGGCTTAATGCATCTAAGCAGAATGCACTCAGGAATGGGGGAATAGTTCCCCTGTGTGAGCATTCACTCCATTTTACCTGCTGTACGCAACTGTACAGAAGGGTTAAGTATCCCTGGGCTGATCCTAAAGAAAATGAAATTTATATTCATTTCTATTTCATGATTCATGTCTTCTTACTAGACAATCCTCCATATATTTGAAAATTCAACACCCACTATTCTCTCTAAAAATAAAATAAAATAAAATGGTAGAAAAATCCCCTGTGATATTGCACAGGGGAATTTTGTTGTCACACAACACAGCATGGACAGAACAGATTCTCCCTTATATCCAACATTGACCAAGCAGATTTATATAATGTATTCTGGGTACATCTTAAGTATTAAAGATGATTCTTAAAAGGTTTCTTTTGTTACCCAGCTGCCATGTGATACTAGAAAATTATTATTAATGCATAATTAGGTCCTAATTGCTGGAAGCAGCTCAAGGCATGTTTACCAACAGGAAAGTGAGTTGGAGGAAACCATTTGCATAAACTGAAAGCTATGAGTACATTCCCTGACAATAAGATACAGATTTACAGATGTAAAGAGAAATTTTGGTGTCTTACTCTCTGTCAGAGGAAAACAAGCCAATGGGACTGGTCCAATACCAAGTTCCTGTAATTGTTCAAACAACCAGTTATAGTGGGCATTTTTATCTCTGAATTAGTATGAAGATTCTTTCTTACTAAACTGTACTTTTAATTGATAAAATAATATTAGTTTAATTAGAAGCTGATTATTAAGATTAAATATAAGGACATTGTAGGTGGAGATCTATGTACCCATAGGGCTGGTCATGCATATTTGGGTGTGGTCACAGGTATATAGAGTGTTCAGACCTTTGGTTCTCAGCTTTCTTAGCTCATCATGGAAGACATTTCTCCCTCAATAAAATATCATATGACATCTTTATTTTGTGTAGCTTAATATTTCCACATTAGGAAATGTCATACATCTAGGGATCTATGTGTATCATCTAAGGAGCTGTATAGGTTGCAGCTCAGATTAATGATTAAAAAATCATTTAAGGCTGCGAACTGGTGATACATGCCTATAATCCCAGCACCCAGGAGGCAGAGGCAGCCAGATCTCTGTGAGTTTGAGGCCAGTCTGCTCTACAAGAGCTAGTTCCAGGACAGCCTCTAAAGTCACAGAGAATCTCTGTCTCAAAAAACCAAAAAAAAAGAAAGAAAGAAACATATAACAAAAGAAAGAAAATGATCTAGGTTGGCACAAATTCTTTCAAATTGATGTCAAAAGATGAATGAATAGGTTGTGGTGTGCAACATAGCTGAAACAAAGACTTTGCATGACCTCATGTTACACTAACATATTCTGAAAATATCTTTGATGTTAGGGATCAAAGAGCAAAGCAGGTCAATTATTATTAGGTAATAATTTTTCCTTGTGAGGATTGGTTGATGATCAAAGACCCTGATTAATTCCCTGTGCCACAAATCTCCTGAATATATATATATATATATATATATATATATATATATATATATTGGGCATGCACACTAAAGTTTAAAGTAGAGCTGACTGTTTGGTTTTCATATGAAACAGTTTAGGTTTGTGATTCCTTTTGATTCCTCATAAGATTACATTTAAAAATAAGAAATAAAGCTGTTAATCCTTTGTTTCTAATTGCAAAATACATTGATGTTGACACTGTGTTAATCTTTCACAAGTTGCTTGGATATGAATATATCTGGGTTCATGGGACAACTTGACTTTCAAATGTGATATGTAAAATATTTCATCCTGTAAGAGATATGGAAAGCATTCTGTATTTTTTACTTGTTTTCATTGTAATCATTAATGTGAATAACCATATGTAACCACAGTTTAATTTCTATATTACCAGAAAGATTTTGTTGATATATACAAGCTGTAGAGTAAAAATAAAGAGAAAATGGGAAGTTTAAAGGTGGAATTAGAAGAAAACATCAAGAATGAGAGAATTAGGAAGAAAACATTAAGAGAGTTATAAGCAAAACAGCAAGAGAGACAGGAAGCACATTTCTGATAGAGATAATTAAAGCAATAAGCAACTGCACCAGAAGACGAAGAAACAAAAATCATAAGGTAAATATTAAGACATAGTATGAAAGTACCTTTTCCCTTATGCGTGTGGATAAAAAAGTCTCATGCTTTTAATTCCTTCATTCTGGAGGCAGAAGCAGGCAGATCTCTGTGATTTCAAAGCCAGCCTGGTCTAGAGAGTGAGCTCCAGGACAGTCTCCAAGGCAATACAGAGAATCCCTGTCTCAATAAACCCAAACCGAAACCAAAAAGTCTGAGTTTGCTCATTCTTTGGATTCTTTTTGAGCCCTGTGCTGCTGGAGGCTGGTATCCAAGCAGTATTCGTTGAGGTAATGGAAATTCCCTGTGCCACACTTATCCAAATATTGGACCCTGTTGCCAAAGATTCCTGTGAAATATCTGTGGAGGCTTCAGATAATTTAAGAAAAGAAAGAAAACAAATTACCTGAGTTAAGATCTTATACTCATAGTTTCAAACACTGATGGGGTCTTCTTCTGAGGAAAACAAGAACACTGACTGTTTAATAATTGTGTACTCCAATACATGACACTACTCTTGGAATCCCCACCAGACTTTGAGTCTAGTTAGAGAAATCATCTGTCATCAAAACTATTATCTTCTTTCCTGATGATGACTTGAAGGTGCTTGTCCATGACTATCACTAGTTGAAAGTTTAAATCAGTACATTGGAGCTCCACTAGTTACTTTACATAAAATGATTTGTGGCCATACCAGTTATCGAAGACAGAAGACATGATTGATCTGACAGTGTATCTCACATTAGGAAATCCTAAGTCCACCATCATACACATGAGCAATCAGTTGATGTACTTTTCCAACTGGCTTGTCCATCCTGTGCTCTGTAGAGAAAGAGGGATTGTCACTGCTGGATAAAGAATATTAAAAAATATATTGGCCTTCCTAAGGATTATTTTGCTTCCAGTAGAAATTGTCCTCCATATCCAGCATTTTGAACTCAGTGTATGACAAATGATCTTAAGACTAGTGTAGACTATTGATGTTTGGATGACACAACCACAACTCAGTGCTATCTGAGTCTGCATAGTACAACTCCTGTTTCTAAATTGAAAAAATATACATATAGTTAGATTCCTTTGCAGAAATGGTGATACAAACTTAGTATTAGAGTTCTCATGAAATAAAAGAAAGTATGTATGGCTGTGGATGAAACTTCTTGTTTCTATGCTAATTGACCAAAATTAATTAGATAAAACCTTGGTATTGGTGGGGAAATTATTGGAACAAATCTCAGTCCTCTGCGTACTTCTGACCTTGCTATCAGCACTGGCTGAGGATCTAATTCTTATTCTGGTGAACAGAGGCTGCCTCATAAACTAAATTTAGATTACTCTATCATGTGACTCATTTATTAAAACTAGTTGTGAATGTGTAGAGCCCCAGAACTTAAGGGACTTCAGACCTGAGCATACCCAACTCAATGATGTAAGTGTCATTCAGCCTGCAAAACTCAGAAAACAGACAGCACCAATTGGCATATATGAAAATGAAGACATATCCCATTACAACACATAATTCTCAAAAAGATTCTAAACACACTAACCGTGTTTTGGTATTTGTAGTTCAACTTCTGGATAACTATTCTTCTTACTTGACACAGAATAATTTTTATTTGTTGTTTAAAAGTTCATCCTGAGAAAGTTACTTTGCTACAATAGGGTCATGATCAACCAGTGAGGCTGTTAACTGGCTAAGACTTATTTTCTATTGGCTTAACTGACATCGGCCATGACAGAGAAGCAGTGAGTTGCAATTGTAATCTGAGGTGTCAGCTAACCAGAGTGATAACACTCTTGTGGGTCAATCTAGCTTGTATAAGTCCACAGAACTACAGACACCAAAATGTGTTTTGCTTCTCCTTTGCCTTTACTTGGCAGCTGCAACTCTCTTTCTCTGTTGTCTAGCATGGTGTGAGTACATATGGGGAGATATCTACTGCCTGTAATAGAGTATGTTTATCTCTTGGAAACAACTGGGCATTTTTACCAGCAGTGGATTGTCAAGAAGATGAACCATCTCAAAACTGTGTTGTCAAAGTTGCTAATAAAAATGATTGCCTATACAGAGTTTTGATGAAAAAAATAAATACCAGGATTTGTTCCCCAGTTGTTCAGGGTAATGATTAACAGAAAGCACCTGATTCCAGGAGCCAAACTGGCTCTGATTCTGTTAATGCTGAAAAGAGGTAGTCACATACCATTGACTTAAAAAAGGTTCAAAATAACTTCAGGTTAGACCAGGTGCTTTGCTAATACTTTTAACTTTATTTACCCCAGAAAACAATCTAAAGTTTACACGGACATGTCTCTGTGCTGTCTGACACATTTAGGCTAAGCTAAAACTTCAATAAAGCCCAATTTTTGCTAGCTTTCATTGCATGTTTGGCTGATGAACAACAGTGGTAATTAATTCCATATACCCATTTCTGCCCTTATTCAATCCTGATATTCAAAAATCTATTAATGAGTTGGTAGGTACCCTAAAGATTTAAAGAAGTGCTGACTAATTCCTTTTCCTTGAAAATGTTTCACTTTTTTGATTCCTTTTAAACTCATTGTAGAATTGCCTTTCAAAGTATGTAACAAAGTGATTGGCCATTTCTTTGTAACTGGCCAGATATAGCCTGCTATTAAAATACCTGACAAGAACACCTTCATGCCCACACAGTTAACCTATAAAATCTTGCTTGATAATGAAGAGATGTGGGTT